TATAAATATTAAAATACAATAAAACAATATAAAATGCAGTAAAAATAGAACAAAAACCAAACACATACACAAATAATATCTTCCAAGATGTTGATGGTCAGTAAGATGTTAACATATGGGAGCATCTTCAGGTTGCTAGCCACCCCCAGGTTCGGTTGCCCTTTTTTGCACCCCATGCCAGTTGGCAGAGCCAGGTCTTGACTGCTTTCCGGAAGGACAAGAAAGTTGGGGTCTGCTTGATATGCAAAACAGTAATTATAATAAAAACACTTTTCATAAGGCAGGCTGTAAACAATTACAGCCTTGCAGCAAATCGTGATGGTGACAAAATAGCAACATGCACCCATTTTGTTACTTACTTCCCCCAAGACAACCAAGAACTCCGATAAATAAGTATGGTAAGGATTAGAGGTGAATGTTTATGATTTATTTTACTTTCTCTTTCCCTAGAATTTCCTAATAGAATTGGCTGCTGGGAAGAAACAGCTGGATGAGATCAATTGCTCAGCAGATATGTTTTCTAAGAGCTATCCTGGAAAACAGGAGGAGATCCAAACTTGTAAGCAAGAGATAAACGAGAGGTAAAAAACCAGCTTATAGCAAATAAAGAACGTGCCATCTTTGATACACAGTCTTTCTACAAACTTGGGTGCAAGACACATAAGACTCTAACTTGCAAATGTTTGAAAGGACCCACACCCTTAAATATATGCATAATAATTAGCTTTTCCACATGATGAAAGCATGTATTTTTCTTTTTATTTTACTCAAGTTATAATAAACAAGAGAGCCAGTTTGGTGTAGTGGTTAAGGCACCAGGCTAGAAACCTGGAGACCCTGAGTTCTAATCCCGCCTTAGGCACAAAGCCATCTGGGTGACCTTGGGCCAGTCACTCTCTCTCAGCCCTAGGGAGGAGGCAATGGCAAACCACTTCTGAAAAACTTTGCCAAGAAAACTGGAGGGACTTGTCCTGGGAGTTGCCAGAAGTCAATGCTGACTTGAAGGCATTCGAAAAAATACAAAAATATAAAATATTTAGGCCAAACAAGATATGATGTACATTGGGGGAATGCCCCAGATGTTGCAGCCTATGGAAGGGGCTAGAGCAGGTTTGGGATTATAGAAATTAGATGGGTAGGGAAGCCTTTTCATGCCATGTTGTTGTGTTTGCATGATGCACTGAACCACAAATTAGCCAACACATTTTAACTTAGTGTGTTGTGGCCTAGCATGTTGTGGAAACCAGCCCTTACATTTAGTTTATGGTTTTGTGTGTAACCACAATGGGTTAAGGGGATAAACCTTGCTTAATTCAACCATGGGTGAATGCATTCACAGCCATTCTCAAATTACACCCCAAAGATATTAGTAGCGTTTTTATCAGGTTCTGGCAAGAGAATTGAAGTTTCCTTTGCAGCCCCAACCCTAGTCTGTAAGCACTCCAGCATCTCCTTTGGCCATTTTCTCCATAATTAAAAGCAAGTACTGTACGTTAATTTTATTTGCACAGTTCATCTCACTCCCTTAGTGAGATACTTGTGGGGTATCATAGCTGGTCTCAGATTTTACCACACTTGTTTTCTCTGTCACTCAACAAGAAAGACATATTCAAATTATAGATCACACCCTGCCCCAAAGGCCTTTGGAAAGTGGGTGGGCTGTAAATATTTAAAATAAATATATACCTTAAAAAACATCTGAAGTGACTAATGTAATTAGCACTTGGGTTGGGCTAAGACTTATCAGGAGAAAATCCTGGAACTTGTTTTTAATAAAGGTTGCCCAGCTTTTGGCATCTCTCCCTCTCTCTCTCTCCTATGAGAGAAGGTAAAGTAATGGCTCAGTTTATGGCCTTGTGGTGGATAAAATTCTTACAATGTTCTTTATACTTGGTTTGCAGTATACTTTACAGAACAAAGTGAATGGACTCTTGTTATTCTCAGCTTCCTATACTTAAACTGTTCTTAAAACTTAAACTCAAAGTATAATACAGTGGTACCTCTACTTACAAATGCCCCTACTTACGAAATTTTCGAGATACAACCAGCTCTGGCCCCCAAAATTTATCTCTACTTACAAACTTGCCTCTACTTACGAACCGGATCCGCCGCCATTTTCCCTGCTGCCACGCGGTCGTGGCTTCCTGTGGGCAAGATCGCGGTAGCAAGGAGACATTCAGTGAGGCTTGTGGTGTGTTT